AAAGCAGTTTGTGATTTATTGAAACCAAAAATCATAGGTTTTAAACAAGTTGTCCTGCTGTTGTCTGTTTATCGCCTAGAATTTGATTATGAGGATTTATTTAAACAAAGTCCCTCAGCAAACTGCTAAATTTCACTAACTAGTTGATTTACTGTGAATTTGCTTGCTCAGCACAGGATTTAAAACCCTTATTTCTAAACATTCTGAACTCACCTCATTCAACTGTTTTGCATGCATCTGTGCATAAAGATAACACCACTTTCTGGGTTTGTCCCCAGGTTTTCCTTTTTGTGTTCATTTTTGACATGGCTACAAAGCTTTTTTCTGCTATTAGTTAGCCAGTTCCACTTTATATAGAACCAGACCAGCCATAAGCTTGATCCTTGACTGCCTAAGAAAACCACACTTGTACCATTTTCAGCCCCCACCAAAAGCAGAGTGGCTAGCTCAAGCAGGCTAGTTTAATTTTGATAAATTTGACTTTAACAGCCAGCCTGAGAAGAACACAAAGACACAAAGTCAGCATCGCTGCATCACGGAAGCTGTCATTATGCACCCGAAAAAATAAAGTCCTTCAGCATGAAGGGCATCATTAATCATTTACAAAGGAGACAGCATAAGGGCAGAAACAGAGGATGGAAAAGTAGGAGTAATACCTCACTGTTACAGGAAAAATTTTAGTGAACTTCAACCTGCTATTGGATTTAGTCTTAAAGATCTGGAAAAAACCAACAGAACCTGCTGCAGGTACCTCGAGAACGGTGTGCTCTTCTTGTTGTTGCCCAGAACAGTCGTGCCCGCAGGTCCCAGCTTGGCACTTTCACGTAACCAATTTGCAGGTGGCAGCTTCAGGTCTGTCTTCTCCTGCAGCCAGGCAAAGGCTGCCTGCGGTGGGGCCGAGGAGTACTTCACCACAGCGCTGCTCTTCACCTCATTGCCTCCAAGGAACAGCACCGAGCCCTGCTTTCCAAAGGGGAATCAGTTGGCGTTTCTGTGGCTCTGAAGGCACAGGACGACCCGTCCTGCTAAGCGCTTTCAGGGCGAGTGACACAAGCAACAAAACACGCCGCTGAACTACGCGGAAAGCTTTGAACTGACACACTTAAAAGGAGAAACGGATCCACGGCATATCATTTAGGTAATTAAAACGCACTTAAACGTAAGGAAGAGAACACTGCCTGCAATTACAGCTCAATCACAGCGAGCGCCTTCCTGCCTCCCTCACACCTGAAAGCGGCGCTCGCACCTATGCGGGAGCCCACAAAACCTCCGAGCCGCGCCCCAGCCGTCACCTGCTTGGGCTCCTCCGCGTCTCCCCTCAGAGAGGCGGCGGCCCCGAGGCCGCACAGCTCCGCCATCTTCCGCCCGCTCCCTGCGGCGGTAACGGCAGCGGCGGGGTCAGGGGGCCGCCAGCGCCCCGCGGCGCCTCACGTGACGCCCTCACGTGACGCTACGTGACGTCACGACAGCGCCGGCTTTTCTCGCGCGCTTTCCCGTGAAGTCCCAGGGGGCGCGGAAGGCGGGGACGAAAGGAGTCGGCCAATAGGAGAGCGTGGGGCGGGGCCTGAGGGCAGGGCGGGGCCGCGGCGCTGATGGGCGGGAAAGAGGCGGGGCGGGCGGTTCCTCAGGGCGGGCTGAGGGCGCGAAGTGCTGAGCGTCCGTCTGTAGGCTCGCGGCGTGGTTGTGGGAGTCTGGTTTCTCTTACAAACCGAGCGAAACCTCTCTAGCTTTGCATATGTTTACTGGTGCAAAGCACACCTCTCAGAAACAATAATGCGGTAAATTTGTGTGGAAATACCTGCATGCAACCTACTGAGGAGAGAACACCTTAATTATTACATTCCTTTTGAGCCTTTCTGTGGTTTTAGGGTGGGAACTTTCTAAGTTTCCTCCTTAAACTTTTTGTTTTCGACTTTATCAATATCTCGCTTGAAAACAGCAGCGAAAGCAAAACTGTTCAGGTAAAAGAAAACAGCTGCCTGCAGGTGCTTCAAACCACAGCGCTGTTTGTCTGAGCTGGCAACGAGGAGCCTGGAGTTACTGAATCTGCAATGACGTGGATTGAGAACAAACTGTAATTTTGTTCTCTGTTGGTCCCATTCTGCATTATCCTTCTCATTTCTGTCACTGACTTCCTCAGTCTGAAAAGCAGTGTGATTTATCTCTGCAGCTCCCCCAGCTGATGCTGGCGCACGCAGACATCAGTGCAGCTCATTAGGCTCAAGGCTGAGAGGACAATGCGATCACCTGAGCCTTTCGGAAGACGTTGATTCCACAGCGTGCTTGCAGCTTTGGTTATTTGTTTTCTCCACCAAAATTGCATTATGGAACAGCTTATTTTTCATAAGCCAACTTTACATTCACCTCTGTAAATCATTGTAGAAGTCTATTGCTTTTGTGCTTAAAAGTAACTAACAGCGTGGCATCGTTAATAACAACGTCCAAAGTATCGCTCTTATCTCACTCTTATCTAAGTTATTATCAAAACTTCAGTGGACACCTAGAGAGACAAAGTAGGTCATTTAGAAGAAAGCCTTGAGAACTGGCAGCATGGCAGCTAGTATCCCCAAATATCATTACGTGTGTCTGATAGTAAGATGGAGAACTTGATTTCCTGCAGCAACTTTGTAATTTCCTTTAGAATAAATGGCTGTGACTGTCTGAATCATTCATACTTAACCAATGCAAGTACCACAATTTCTCTCATTTCATTTGCCAGCTATAGCATCTGATTCCCACCCACTTTATCCTCAAATATCAATATGCTGGAAAGCAGGCCGGTGCCAGAGCCATTTCAGTGTCATCTTCTTGACAGTCTCTCAAGGTCCAGGAGGCAAAGTCCTGTTTTGTGCTTCATTCTGTGACTTTGGCCTTGGCTACACCCCTTCCTTGAGACAAGCAAGGCCTTACTCTCTCTGCCTCAGTTTTTCTTTCTGCGAAGGAAGCCTTACATTTTGGCTTGTTCTCCATTTCTTCAGAAATATATTGCAGAACCTTCTGTGTACAAAAATATCTGCTACATTCAGCTTTGAGACTGTGTTGGGAGCAGGAAAGAACACACTGAGACTTCTCAGGACAGCCACTGTGCAGATCATCACCATGTTGCAAAGCCACTGCCACACGGCAGGGCACCTACATCTCAATCCCTTCACAGACCCGTCCCTGCTGTTGTCCCTGACTTGTGCCCAACGGTCCCACTTCCTTCACAGACTCACCCTACTCATCTCCTCGACCCATGCCCAGCGGTGCAGAGCAATTACGTAGTATAGATGTTTGCAGGCCAGCCCTCAGACTTGAAGGCAAAAAAATCCCTCTAGTGATATCAGCTTTTTTATAAGGAAATACAGGTTGGGTGTTTAAGACATGCATTTGTGTAAAGCAATATTGAAAGGAGCGTGATATTGCATCTTAGAAATAATGCACACTCGGTGCCGTGTGTGATTTTTCCCCAATGACTGTCCTTTCTTCTGACACACCATTCACACTGTGTTACTGAAGTGATTGAAGAATTAATGAATCATTTTAAATCAAACTGTTTCTTTCCCATTTGAGAACAGACTCAAGAGTGCTCCTTGTTTTTGCAAGCACAGTGGTCCAGTGAGAGCAGCGTTTTCTTTGCTCATCTGTTGATCTTAATGAAACACCAGAACCACTTCACAGCAGTCTCACCAAAGGCAAAGGCAGAAGACTCAAAAGACAACATTAATGAATTTTCACAAAATCTGCTTGGATGCAGTTGCTGAAAAAGTAAATGTTGCAATAGAGAAACGTCAGTCACAGCAAAAATACTTGTAAAAAGCAAAATAATTACCGTTGTCAATCGACTTCTGAACTGAAGATACAAACATCCCGCAAGCTTTACGCAGTGCAGAGGGTTTGCTACGAGGAGATGCAATCTCCAGTCACTTGCCAGTGGGCATCTCCCCACTGCTCTGGGCAGAGCAGGGCAGGGTGGCATGGAACAGTGCTCAGAAGGCATTCTGTGTGAGCTTCTTCCCCACACTGTCTCCAAGGAGCTGTGGGGCCTTCTGACCCTGTGTGAGGGGGACAAACACCCTCCATGGCAACCAGTGTTCTGATTGGGAAAGGCTCAGAGCTGCCAGGGCTGGCAGCCGGCGCAGAGCCATGCCAAAGAGCAAGTGGCCAAACCTCAACACAGAGAGCGCCGGCACCTGGGTAAGGGAAGGGCAGCAGGAGGGGCTGCTGTGGGGCTGCTGATCCCACAGGGATTCTTTATCCTTCATCTGTGGGAAAAGTGATGTGATGAGGGTGAAGATGTCCTTTAGTCAGAGAGCTCGGGCTGCCCTCAGCCACACCAGCACCTGCAGGGGAAGCAAGGGTTTTCTTTCCTATGAGAATGGTGAGGTGCTGGAACAGCTGCCCAGAGAGGCTGTGGATGCCCCGTCCATCCCTGGAGGTGTTCAAGGCCAGGGTTGGAAGGGACCTCAAGGATCATGACTCTCCAACCCCCTCATTACATGCAAGGCCACCAACCTCCCACTTAATACCAGCAATGCTAGTGGTTTCTTCCTTAATATTTAGCCCTGATTGATTATCTTTGGGACTGCCAGCTGACGTTTCCTCCAGCTGCTGCCCTGCCAGCTCCATCAGCATCCCATATCCTGACTGGCAGTACTGGAGGGGTTCCTTCACCCAGGCCTAAAACTTGGCTGAGTCCCCAAAAACCTTTATGCTTTTAAATCTACTGTTATACAGACAGCATGGGAAAAAAGAAAAAATAAAAATAAAAGGGCTCTACAGCATAAATGTTTTTACTAGGCTGTGTATCATTATACAAACAATTCCCAGCAAGTTCTTGGAGAAATCGTGGTGTTTGTTGTATGCGGAAGGGTTGTGCTGTGCGTGGGACGCTCCCCGCGCTTCTGCCAAGGGCCGCTAGGGGCTGCTCCAATACAAATAATACAAAAAAAAACAACTGGGAAAATAGGATGTTACCCACATTTCTGGTGGGATTGCTTTATACCAACGATCGCCATTTCCATTCCTTTGCATTTTGCACATGTTGGACAATGCCAGGGCCAGCTGGAGTCCACCACGCACTACGCGCTGAGGCAGGGCCTGGACCTGCAGGCGGCACGGAGCGCGGAGGATCGGCTGCCACCCGCGTTCCGGGCAAGGGAACAGGTGGGTGGCTGTGCACATGCAGCCTGTGACAGGCAGGCTGTTTGCAAGGCACCATTTGCTGAGTTATAAAGAAGAGACTTGTATTTGTGGTAGTTACAGCAGGCTGGCAGACTTCGTGCCTCAGGGAGTGAGATGATGGCCAGCTGTGCTGAGGAAGGAATGTATTTTGCTGTTACACGGTTATAATTTGGGATAGTCAAAGTCCTGCTGCTCTCCAGCATCAGCTACTTTTCCCTTGTAGTTATGAGACACGCCTGCATGCCAGAATGTATGTGGCTGACTTCAGTCCGAAATCTGTGTGTAAGGTAGCCCTGTAAAAGCACTTCAGTCACGTTTATCTGTTTTGTTTTTTTTTTTTCAGAAACTCAGCATTTTTAATTTTTCATTAAATTAAATCTTCCTCTTCTGTTTGGAGGTGAATATCACAGTAAGAAAAACAAAAACAACATTCCTCAACATGAAAAGTGAAAATCACTACAGCATTTACAGAAAAAAAAAATCAGATTCCCAACATGACAGGAAAATAATGTTCCAGGAAGTACAGGGGTCATCTGATGGTCCAGAAGGATGTTTGGTGTTTCACTTTTTAGCTCTTTTAAAACTATTGCAATTATATATAATAAAGAAATATGTTAAATTTTGCATTTGTCCTTTTTTTTTAATAAAACTTGTTCCACTTTACAGTCTGGATAAACGCTGTTAAAAAATGAGATTATAAATTAGTTATGTGATCAATACCTCTTCCACCTCCCCTGCAACAAGCAGTGCACTTGCCATTCAGTACATAAATCACAGATTAATTCAGTTTTGAGGTCCCTTTTGTAGTTCATTTTAATTAGCTTTGGGCTTGCTAGTGAGTAAAACAAGGCAATCCTGACATATTTCTTACATTTTGCTATTTGTAGGCAGTATGTAGCATTTCTCATTTGAAAATTCACACTTTTATATTAATCATGTGTATGTTCAACAAGTCCAGGGAGCACAAATCTTCTCCATGATTTCATGAGAAATAAAAACCATTGGAACCTACAGGGGGTTGGGTCCATTTTGTCCCAGTAAAATTATGTGCAAATTAAGACCTAACGTATGAGCATGCCTTCTGTGTTCGAGTGTAGGCAGCTGCAAGTTTGGCATCTGCCAGAATATAAGAGCTAAGACTAGTAGAATTCCAAACAAGTTGTGAAAATTCATGTTTTTTCCTGTGGTTTCTTTTTTTTCAGAGTGCAGTGAACAACAATTTCTCATTTTCTTCTCATGACAACAGACACTGTCTACATAATGTAGGAGAGTATTTTGATTTGGTAAGTACCCAGCACTAACAAGGATCAGAAAGTTCAGTATACTGATCAAGCATCGTTTCAATAAATTTCCTGCAAGCTGCAGAGTGTAGAAGTCAGGCTCCATCTCTCTGTGTTTGGACACAAGGGATACTTTTGAAGATTCAGATTTTGTAGTCTCGATTTCCTTATTGCAGTCTAAACATCAAATTGTTAACCTAATTGTTTGGGTTTCTCTGAAGATTAGTTTAGGCAAATACAGCTGAATAGCTTTGAGTTGCTAGTATGCTAGAGAAGTGCAAAAAGGAAGTGGTTTGTTAGTAGTGTTGGATGGTAAGTCAGCATATTTGCCATTATATATTCAACCAAAATGTTCGTACAGGCAAGTCTGGCAATATTATTTTTAACTTGCTAAAGATCAACCATGAATTCTTGAAATCACTGTGGTAACAGCTTCGTTAGCTTCCAGTGGGGTAGTGACTGTTACAAGCTTCATCTGTGAAACTGTGATCGAAAGTCATATGTTTACGTGGCTTTTTCTTTCCATCTTTTTTCTAGGGTTTGGGCCGAAGGAAGGTGGAACCACACAGAAGGCAGCAGAACTCACAGAATTTCTTCCAGTGGGCTTCAGAACCGGTTAGAAGGAGCGAAGATGGCTTAACCACTTATCAGATATCATTTGTGAAATACAAGAGCACGATCTCTAGGCAGCACCCAAAGCACTTCTCAGAAAAATCCTGCACTGACAAAGCCTGTTCCTCAGAATGAAAACAACATGCAGCCAAATAAATTATCTTAATTACAATACCCTCTTTGTAGCACTGATTTATCATCATCAGAGCCTTTTCTGGAGATCTCAACTACTTGTCACTCAAAGGATGAAATAAACACGTGTAAAGTGAATAAAGTAATATAGCTGAGAGTTCATTAAATCAGCATTCCTGTGCTACTCTGAAGACTTGCTTTGCTCAAAAAATGCAGTGATGAGCACTATGAAGAAAAGCATGATGGTACATACTTTCAGAAATATCTGTATTACGAATACAGAGGTAGGGACTATAGTTGTGTTATTTGACACTGGTTGATGGTGATCTTCATACAAAAGCCCCTTCAACTTCAGGATCAATGGTATCACTGTATCATGCAGCTGACAGCATCTGTGTTGACAGAACTGTACAATGGAACTGAATCTTTGAGGGTTCACTGCAGCAGAGAACCAAAACTGCACGTTCAGGTATGAGATAAACTTTTCTGAAAGGTTGTATGGATATGAATGTGTGTTACTTGCAGTTAGGGAAACTAGATAACAGAACCTGAGTGTTAGATTGCAGTGCAAGATGGTAATTCTGGAAAATGTAAGTGTATGCATGTAGGTATGTGTCACTCATGGCAGTAAGGCAAAAAGAAAAAAAGCTCAGGCTGGAAGTGGAAGTCTCTGCAATGTGGAGGCTGAGGTGGGCTAGCTCTGGGAAGGACTGGTGCTTTTGTAGTTATGTGTCCCTCAGGAGGTGGAGTCAGAACCAATCCTTCAAAGGCTCCTGAGATACTGGCTGACTGCAGGGCATGAGAGGGATTGGAGTCAGAGCTCCAAATAACGTGTTTTCCTTTTCTGGATCATTTCCATTAATGCCAATAAAAGAATAAACAGAACTGTGTATCTTAAAACGTGCTATAAATAAGCCTGTTGCTATGCAGAATGTTTTCTTTGTTTATGAGATAAATGGAAAAATAAACCTAAACGCTTAGAATTTCCTGCACTGTGAGAGATGCCATGAAGATGAGCTATGTTAAGAAATGCTTTGTGCTCTTCAGTGGACACATCTTTTTGAATTGGCTGCAAGGGGTGACAGTTCTGTGTTCCATCAAAATAGATTGCATTAGAATGTTTCCCCAAATGTAGGAATTTTTGATGCTCGTGAAGAAACAACAAACTTTTTTAAAATGCAGTTCCCTTTACTAAAGTTCTTGGAGTGCAGCAAAACATGCAGAGGTGCAAAACCTCATCGAACAATGTAAAAACAGATAAAAAGCCAAGTAACATAGTGCTATTAAAAGGAATTATTTTCTCTCAAAGTAAAAGCAGCCTGCCTGACAACACTGCAGTCAGAATTTCCAGAGCTTTAGCCAACAATTTCATCTCCAAAGTGATTCAAAACTAAAGCGTGTGCCAATCACGTGGTGAATGAAGTACCCCATGCTGTCTGGCATACTCAAGAGGGCAATCTTGGACCTCCATCAGGAGGAAGAAACACATTCTTTGCTACATTGGTAATGTTTATCCATGGTTTAACATTACAACTGGATACAGTGAAATAAATTGCTGTAGTTTGTTATGTCTAAAAACACCGGTAGGAAGATTCCAGATTACTTTTATTTTTCCACATCTTTTCCTCGTGTTTTGAGTCAAACACGGATTGGTTTTAGAGTTAAGTGCAGACTCGATTAGGTACATGTTCTCAGTGATACTGTGATAAAGATTTTGGAGGAGAAACTGTTGGGCTTATGAAAGCTCTATACCAATCGAAGAGCGGTGTGCTGGATCGAACATTGGTGCTTCCCACGTGCCAAACGATCTGGCTGCATTTCTCCAGTAAATAACATGAAACACAACACATCGCATTCTGAGCCGAACGATAAAAGCCTCAGATAAATTCTCAGAAAGTCATAGCCTTGCATAGTTTGGGTAAAATCATTAATTTTCTTTCACCTTGTCATAATAACGTCTCTGAGAAGAAATCCCTGCTGAGTTAAAATATGTTTTCAACATGATTTCTTTGCTTCTTGGGGGTTGGGGGAGAGCGTAGGAGGGCTGCTAACTCCCATAAAGGTTTCCCAGTCAGCACAGGAAAGCCCTGGCTGGTAGCTAATTAGGATCAGATGGGTGGAGGTAGGCTCAGCACAATGAGCACACTATAGGTTAACTCAGCCAGATATATTCTGGAGAAGCAGAAGGTAACCTTGAAGTGATGCTGACAAATACAGGCTTTTTTGTCCCTCTTTTGGAGGAAAACAAAAAAAAGTCAGTTTCTTGCAAATTTTTCAACAAGCTGTTTACAAGCCAGAACCCCTGTACAGAACCAGCAGGCTTCTACTACAGTCCTTTCAAATAAGCAGCTAACCCTTTGTTGTTGTTGTTTCTCCTTGGCCAGCATCAGATTAGGGGCTGTCTGCACAACTTTCTTCAAGCATCTCTCTCACATTAGTTTAAAGGTTATTTCAGTACGTTAGCTAATACACACAATTGAAGTGACATATATCAAAGAAGTTTAAACCAAGGGGACAGGCAGATGGCTCCAAGTTCCTGTGGTTGAATGAGTTGATACTTACCTGAGCCTGGCAATGGTCAAGCGTTGAGTAACTAATTGGTCTGAGTTGAAGGGCAGCAACTTTGTCCCCTACCTGTTTCCATGTCCAGGTACAAGGGAGTCTGTTTCTCACATAGCATCAGTTCTACTGAATTGAAATATGGTCTTATGTTTGTATCTGGATGGTTATGTCCACATGATTAAGTGTTTCTTTTTTCTTTTTTTTTCCTGCCCTGTTTGCTGATTACTAGATCTGAGAAATGCTGCTTTCACTTGGACCCTACGGCCTTCTGGTAAGCTTGATGCCAGCCTTCTTTCTATCATTATTTCACTTAGAAAATGAATGCTGTAGCTTGTGAAATAGAGTCATTTTGATTCCAATATGTGAGCTGTTGATGTGTTGTGGCAGCACATGAGTTTGTTTTTGGTTCAGTATGAGGCAACATATAAATGTGGTGTATTTGTTTACTTGCTGCCTAAAGAAGCTCAATGAAAGCAGATGCTCGATTCCTGAAACCCTCACCCTGTGTGGCAGGTTAGATTGAAGGTGGAGTGGTGCTGCTTGTGGAGTTGGTAATTCAGTGGGGATGCAGCAGCTTGGCTTCTAAGTCATCAGCTGCTAATCCAATCACTCTGTGTTCATAATCAAATCACTTCATGTAGCTCAAATGGGGTTTCTTAGAGCGTGCTCTCAAGGTTGGTTGGAGTGATGTAAATGTACTCAAGATGAGTGTTTTTGCTTCCCTGGGCTGTACAGTTAAGCAGTAGCAATACTGCTGGAGATCTGTAAAAAAACATGGTGCTTTTTGTTTGCAGTGATACAGGTGAAGAAGTACAGTGTTTTTATTGTGGATGATATTGAACTTCTGTAAATGTTCTTACACTGGTTTAACTTTTCCCTGGCCAAGCAAAATATTGGTGTCTCTGTATGATGATGTTAATGCTGAATCAAAAGTACAGATCTCTTGTCAAGTAGAACAGCACTGGCTGATGAGAATTAATATTTGTGAAGTGGGATCTTTGGATAAGTTATCTCTATATTTAATAGAGTCTTTGCCAATTCATGTTTTGTTCTTCAACTTCCCTCTGTCACTGCTGTGTTATGAGCCATAGGTGACAAATCTGAGACCGCTCTGAGATGGGAAAGGACTGCACAGGGCTGCCTCATCCCAAACACGTCTGCTTCCCTGACAAAGTGTTGAACCAATGAGCTGTTAAAATATTCTCCCTGGAATATCGAATTAAAAAGAAGTCTTTTCAAAAGGGAAGCAATCCTAACTGACCCTATTTTGAATGTATGGCAACAACGGGTGTGAAGGAACCATTAAAGCACCCAATTTATGTTTCAATCAGGCAACTGTGCAGCTTCTATGAAAAGCGTTGTCAGGTTGCTGCCTTGTCTAATCCCAGTTTGTTGTACTTATGTATAGTCTCCTGAAAGTGAAATATCTCTGATTATCCTTTCTGAAATATTTCCGCATGCAGAAAGGATCCTGGTTTGAGATTAGTTCTATTGCTCTGAAATGACCTAAGAATTGTTTCTTAGGGGAGACCTGAGGGAGATGCCTAGTGCAGCTTCCAACTCAGGCCAGACTGGTGCCAGCAGAGGATTAGCTCAGCGTGCTTTGTGGATCTGAGCCCAGCAAGGGTGAAGCTTGCACAGCCTCTCAGGTTCCCTGCTACTGCACTGCAGTGCAGTTCTAATGAACAGCATTTTCCTACCCCAAAGCTTTGTGACCACAGCCTCCTAGCATATCACTGGCACTACCAGAAAGAGTTTGGCTGCGTCATTTTTGTAACTGCTCTGAAGTTGCTGCAGGTTGCCCATAGCCTTCTCTTTGCTAGACCAAACAAGCCTGTTTTTTCTCAGCCTGCCCTTGCAAGTTGTGCACCTCTGACCATCTTAGTTGCCCTCTGCCGGATCCTGCTCTATTTGTCTGCAGCCCAAAACAGGGTTCTAGGTTCAGCCTTCCTTGCTCAGGGAATAATAATATTTCTCAGCCTGCTAATAGGAAGTGGTTCTCAAAGTCTCAGCCTCTCTTAAAGCCTTTGAGTTGAAATAATCTTCCGAAAGCCTGTGAAGCAGGTCTTTTGTTTTTAAATAGTGAACTTCCAACTTCTTTTCTTTCTATATTGAATATGTAGCTATTTCTGCATGCACCAAAAGTGGAAATTATGTAGCACTTTCAGAGAGAATATATTTAAACTGCCATTAATTTACTGGTGGATGCCAGACACTGAAGTCCCACAAGACTTCCACAGATGCTTAAAATGCTGCACCTGGTGAAGTCCAACATGACTGAGTCTTGACTGCACCAAGCACAAACCTTTGTAAAGGAAGAGCAGCAGATTAATTGTCACATGTCATCTCATCAAGAGGAATGCTCAAACACATCAAGTTTTATAGTAGGTGCATAAAGAGCAGCTATTATCACTTCTTTTTGCAAGAGCTTAATTACTGTGACACCCATTTGAAATAATTTCTATTCTTTCCTCTGCTGTTGCAGTGTTTGAGGCAGAAAGTTGTGGCTTAATATGTGGTGGTGCAAGTTTTCTTTGCTTTCTTCTTGCTGAGCCTCTCTC